CTGCCGACCCCTCAAACGCCGCCTGTTCCCCGCTCCGAGGAGCGCAGCGGAGAGTCGCTCTGAGGGCGGGATGGGTCGCCTTGGTGCCGCCTGGGCTGGGCGCGAGGGCTGCTCTGCTGCTCCCACACGAGGGTGGAGAGGCCGGGGGGGCCCCCTCCCTGGAGCGGATCCGCCCCTGTTGAGCCGTGGGGGGCTGGGCCACGAATTCCCGCAGGGTCTGATCTTTCACCCATACACGGAATTCTCAGGCTGGCAGAGAAAACATTCCAGGTGCGATGCGAGGGGGGTTTCCTTTGGCTGAAGTCTGCAGACCGGCAGCTCGTCTGGTCTGATTGCTGTGCTCAGCAGCAAGGAGACAGCCCGATGCTGTTAGTTAATCTGTAGGCCACACCGAGCTTGTCAATCATGTCAGTGTCACATTGACCTAAAGAGACATTATCTTTTTCTAAATACTTCTTTGAGGCCTGCTTTTACACCTTCCGGAAATATTGGAATGGTCGAGGAGAAGTTGCACAAAACTGATTTGTTTCTATTTTAAAAAATAAACCAATAACAAAACTCCAAATAATATGACCTGCTTATTGCACCATCCCCACTTGACCGTTATGTCCTGCTTCAGTTCTGTTTATCTTTTTTGTCTTTATCCTGAAAAAACATATGTGATTAGTTTTATTCAGATTAGCCCCATTGAGACTGCTCACCTCTGTAAAATAGTGATAGAAATGTAGCCGTGTTAGTCTGGTGTAGCTGAAACAAAATACAGGACTATGTAGCACTTTAAAGACTAACAAGATGGTTTATTAGATGATGAGCTTTCGTGGGCCAGACCCACTTCCTTTGATCTGAGGAAGTGGGTCTGGCCCACGAAAGCTCATCATCTAATAAACCATCTTGTTAGTCTTTAAAGTGCTACATAGTCCTGTATTTTGTTCCACCTCTGTAAAGTTATTCAGGCATGTAAATGTTTGTGGGATGGTAGATTTGGATTATAAATGTTTTGGGACAAAGACTCTGTTTATATAGGACTAGCACAATGAGATATCAGTCCTCCAACTGTCAGTCTTTTCCCGTCCAGAAGTCAGTCAAGCTTTCTCAACCTTTTAGAATAAAACTTATACTTTTTTTTTTTTTGCCATGAAAACTACTTGAGTGTTCTTTTAAGAAGGCATCCTCATTATATATGGACAAGTAATAAACATGGTTCTGGTCTTCTTTCAATAATTTGAACAACAATATGATGAATTTTTAATAAGTATATTATGAGGCTGTGTCTTCCCCAGAACCTACAGTTCTAGTTATTGGTCCATAGACCCGTGTGTAGTTTTAGGTATGTTAAACACACATACACCAGTCTCAGAAGTGTTGTTTCACAGTCCTGCATTTTTATTCTTCTTATAAGACATTTTATAATATGACAGTTAAAACTGAATTCCCCTTTTTATTTTGATGGTTTTGTATCACAGATGGTACACGTGACTAGTTCAGGTTATATAGAGCACTTATAAAGACCTGTACTTGGACTTGCATAAAATTGCTGCTGTTGTGACTATTGAGCCCCAGTACTATTTTTATGTGAAGTTATTTGGTCTAAGCAAATGTTCCAGCTTGTTGCGGATGTGTATCTAGATAAATACATTGATAGCATATGGAGCTAGGGATAGGGGAAAAAGCTACAAGACTAATTTTGTGGTGAGCTGAAAATTAACATTTATCTTCTCCATCTAGTCTGCAAGCCCTCCTAGACAGTGCTGTGGCGCTGAGGACAGTAAGCATTGTCGTTGGGTTTGCTTCTAATCCTTGCTGTGAAGAAGAAATTAAGAGCCAAACATTCTTTCTTTTCTTATAGGATTATTTGTCTGGAACCTTCAAAAACGAGCAGTACGACAAATACCATGCAAGTTTATGCATTGCTTTGGAGTAGCCAATAAAAGATGGATTACCTTTCAGCACCTTAACTTCCTCAAACGAATGGTAAGTCAGGAGAATGTCTTATTCCAAGTTGACTATTTTTCTATTTTCCTTATGGTATGTTGGAAACTAAAATGTTTGCCAATTACAAGTGGTGGATGGCACTCAGTTTTAAAAGATGCATCCTGACTAAAACATATTGATCTAATTCTGCCAAAGATTTTGGGGGCAAAGTGTAAAGTCAAGCTTGGGTCCTAAATTTTTATGTATGGAATGGAGTGAATCTGAAAAAGGCAAAGAATTTTTTTAGTCTAAATTCTTTGAGAGAAGTCCTGTATAGATTAAAGTAATAGGTTCATTTCTTCTGTAGGATGTAAATAGTCAGTGCATTAGCTGTTTATATCACAAGAGTGTAAGGGTGCATCTACACAGCAGGGCTTAACTTGAAATAAGCTATGCAAATTGAGCTACGTCAATTGCATAGTTTATTTCAAAATTGGGAGCATCTACACAGCACTTATTTCGAAAGAGAGCACTCTTCCTTTGATTTTCCTTACTGTTTATACAATGAGGGTTACAGGAGTGGGAATAAGAAGTCCTCAAGCCTGACAGAATTTCGACCTTATTTCGAAATAACTGCCTGCTGTGTCTACGCAGACTAAGTTATTTTGAAATAATGTTGCTGTGTAGACATTCCCTAACTGTCACTAACAGTTCAAAAATATTCCTCTTCTCCTCACAGAACAGATGCATAGTGAATAGTAATAGTGCAAAATTCTCATCAGTATTCCTTTTGATGTGTTTCAAGGTGTCTTGCAAGGACCATCTCTAATGCTACAAGGATAGTTCAATCTTATGTCTATTCTGTGGTGTGTCTACTTTGATTGCATTGAAAGGACCAGATATTTTCAATGTTGGTGGTATAGATCACCTTTCCAATAGGAACCAGAGTGAGATCATAGTCCACAAAGCCAAACTATCAGACTTTTGGTTGCTGTTGCACATGATGCATCATTTTTCAATTCAACAATTCCCTCCTAGTTTTTGTCTTTCTATGTTTTCCTTTCAAATGTTGTCTAAAATTGGAAGGCCAGGTAAACTGAACCAAAATTTGTAATTGATGGTGGAAAACTGAGTTGAAAGAGATGATTTCAGTTTATAATATGTTAAGGGATTATCGCTTACAGAACTTTCTCTGGGTTTGAACTAGTTGACTGTATTTATCTAACAGAGATTGTAAGGCATCTAGTACTTCTAATAATTGGAGCATAAATGCACATCAAATTATATATACACATGTCCATACAACATATGTCCACACACATGCTTCAGAAGTGGGGCAAACATTTGTAGAATAAACAACAAAATCCAACTGATTAGTACAAGAGCTAGTAAGGGCTAATATTTCCAGTTGAAACTGCAAAGGAAAGTTTATTTAGGCCTAAATTTAAACTAATGTTATTTATACAGCCATGAATTTGAAAGCTGCTTTTTTGTATCTTGTGCAATTGCAGACATGGTTTTATGAATCAAATGAGCACGTGCAATGCAAATTAGTTTAGCAATATCCGTGCTATGAAATTGTTATCTTTAATTGTAAAGGAAATATAGAAATAAATGTAATAGTATTATTATTTTTCTGTTATTGCCAAGCTATTGCCAGGACAAGCTTTTTTAACTCTTTTGTTAAAAATATTATCTCAATTTACTGTATATTTTCTGTTCAGTATGTAACGCAGTCCAGCAAAGACCTCAGTCAGCAAGCAAAACTGAAGCCAGATCCAGTTGCACATCCTGTGCTTGAGAAAAAACATTTGGGTCAAGAAAAAACAGTTACATGTGAACTCAGATCAGTTTCACCTCTTCACCCACCTTTGTCTGAGACTTCACACAGAAATGAGGTTAAAGAAATGAAATCAGCTGCAGTTGTAGAAGACTTGGCAACGGCAGTAGGAGCAGAATCTAAAGAAAAACAGTGGAAAGAAATGAAGCTGCAACTGGATGATTTACCAGGAATTTTGGCACGTTTGTCCAAAATCAAACTTACAGGTACTAATGGCAATTTTTCAGTTCCATGCAAGCTCTCTCATTCAGGGTTCTCAAACTTGTTCATAGTGTGGTCCACATTTTAAACAGAGGTAGGTCTCATGGACACTTTCCTTCCCAGTTATTATCCCTAGATTACTGCAATCACATACTAAACCTGTTTCTTTTAAATCAAATTTTGCTGCTAGAAGTAAGGAGGAGCCAGCACCATGTGATGAACTGGCTGCCGATGGGCCACAAGCAAGTGCTCGGTAGACTATCATCAGCTTGCAGATCATAGTTTGAGATACAGTTGGAGAAAAAATTCTCACTGTGGTCCATTGAGCACTTGCTTGTAATCTATGGACAGCAAGTTTAAGTTAGGCTATCTAACACTCCAGGCAAAATTAATTATCGTGAGCATATCTTTTTGTAATCAATATTTTCTGTATAGTCTATGTCAGTTTTGATCTCAGATTGATATGAACCATTCTGTATTTTAGGGGAAACTCTTGTTTGGCTATGGTGGAATTTTACAATGGTTGTATTAATGGTTAAATGCAAGTAGTTAAAAAGAGCCCTCTTCGTTCATGTCTTATCAATGTTATGCTTTTTGATGTCCTTGTCTTTAAGTTTAGTGGTCGTTCTTGTCACTCTGGTTAAAAGTACTGAGGTAGTAATATGAATACATTCCATAACTTATCTGCCAAAGTTTTTGAGTGGTATCAGTGTAGTTTCCTAAAATAAAATGTGGTTTCAAAAGTCAACGAAACTCAACTTTTCTAGTTCTTCAAACCAGGAAAGAAAACAACTTGTTGAATGTCTATCATAGTTACATATCATTTATGTTATGTTACCTTTGACGTATTTTTGAGGAGCAGTATTCTATTCTAATGGTAACGTATAGCATTTTCAGACATAGATCACAGTGCTTTGTCCCTGTTTTAAACATGAGGAAACAAATGTTCATAATGAAGGGATTTGATTAATGCCTCATGTTAATGGCAGAACCAAGTGGCAGAACAAGTAGGGATGCTCAAAAGCATTTATTTAGGTAAACGGGTAATCACTGAAATTTTCAGTGGTTACATGTTTGCGGGCAGTGGGGGAAAAACTGCCTGCTTCCCCTCCATGCTGCTGCCTCACTGGCTCCCAACTCCTGGCACTGCTGCCTCTGTATCAGAAGGCAGCGCACAAGGGAGGCAGGAGCTGGTTCCCTGCACATACCAGGTCCTGCCTCTCCCCCGTCCCTCCGCTCTGCTTCCTGATACAGAGGCAGCGGGGGTGAGGCGGAGGGAGCTGCGCGTAGTCTTGCTCATTAACTGATGAGCCCAGGCTCATTGGTTAACCGTATACATGGGTACATGTTCACATCCTTACAAACAAAAATAAAAATCGGATCTCCAAACTATCAGCCTAGAGCCTTCTCCAGGTGATCACAGCAACTCTCAGGTGTTAGAACTGCACAGTAGAACCATAACAATTGTTATAGTTCATCAAATAAAATTCCTAAGATCATTTTATCTCTTTAAACTTTTGTTCTACTGTATTTCATATCTTATCCTTAATTTTTCACAAAAAAAAACTACTGAGTACAGTAGGATATGTACGAGTGCTCATTAAAAAGCTGATTTTATTGCTCTCATCATCTATTAGACACAGAATTTGCACTTATTGAAGCTGATTGTGAATGCATATCCCAAAGTTGCTCCTTACTGCTTTGGAGTTATCTAGAATTGGACTAGATAATTCTCATCTGCATAAGCATTTTCTTCTCCACCTTGAATATATTTGAAGAGTACTCCTGCCCTAGTGTATGATTGGGACCAATACAATATGATGGGGAAAAAACAGCGCTTGGAGATTGATATACTTCTTTCTTGAGAGTTGCTGTTAGGCTGATGAGTCTGAAGTCACTTATAGCTTTGTAATTCTATGTAGCAGCATCTGTCCAAGGATCTCAGAGCTCTTTACAAACATTAAATCTCACAATCTTCCTGTTAAATGACAACACAGCCTATTTGTACTCATGAGTTGTGCTGCCCTTTTCACTACAGAGGTTGCTTTATGTTTTCACTGCTCATTAGTAGTAATAGTTTGAGTTTCTTCCATGCATACATCTTTAAGCTCTGCATGGACAGCTAATTTTCCAGTCATTTTTTCAGTGAGATTATTTTAAGTGGATTCTCTTGAGAAGCTGGGGCCCCTGCATGAGTAATTGAAATTGAAGGCAGTTAAAAAATCTGAAATAGATCCAGAAGCAAATATTAGAATATTAAAATGCCAAGGCTAAATGACATCATTTAAAAATAAATAAATGGGTGAACTATGGTGTTATGGCCTGTCTTGGAGTGGGTGATAATTTTTGATTGGGGAGCCACACCAAGATTTTGGTAAGTGGTCAAGAGCCGCTTTCCTATGGAGGAAGTGTGGGGTGTGGGATGGAGGCTGGGGTAGAGGGTCTGGAGTGCAGAGGAAAGTGTGGGTCTGAGAGGGAGTTTGGGTGAAGAAGGGGGTTATGATCTGTGGCAGGAGCTTGCTGGGTCCAGGAGGGGGCATGGGTGCACATGAAGATTCTGGCCTGAGGAACGGTGTAGATGGGGGTGCACGGTCTGGGAGGGAGTTGTGGCCGAGGAGGGGAGGCGGGTGCAGAGGGTTTTGATAATGACCTGGGGCAGGAGGGGTTGGTGACCTGGGGCAGGGAGTTTTGGAGGGGGAGGGGCTGGAGTGCCAGAGGCAGGCTGTGTCCTGGAGGCGCTTACTGAGGCAGCTCACAGCCAGCAGGCCTGCTTGACCCTGAGGCAGGCTCCCTGCCTGCTGCAGCCCCAGGCTACTTAAAATGGCTAGCTGCTCCTTATGGCTCCCTGCTCCTGGCGCTGGGAGAGAGAGAGGGGAAAGAAGTAGAGGGCGGCTTTGTGTGCTGCTCCAGCCCCCAGCAAAATCTCTCCGCTCCCGTTGGTTGGTTTCCATGAAGCCTTCCCCTCACCACGGCACCTGAAGCAGAGAGCCACAGGGTGCAGCCAAAGTGGCCAGCAGGATCAGGGCTGTGGGACGTGTCTTGCCCACCTCAGTCTATCTGTTGTGATGGCTGCTTTTGTGTATTTTTTTAAAACAAGGTTGTTGATCAGGCTGTTCTTTGGTTCTTGAGAATGTAAGTTATCCTAGTTTAGTTTTCATGTTACAGATGACATAGTACCTCTGTGGAACTGACCCATGAAAGTTTGATCATTTTAATACTTTCCATAATTTTACAGAGTTTCTATTTTTACTTTTTTGAGTATAAAATAACAAAAAACAAACTTTGAATGATATCAAAAGGGACCTTCCCCATGACTGTCTTCCCCTACTGTTGAAGAAAAGAGCTTGTATTGAGAAATGCAGTTCACCTTTGAAAGGAAATAAATGTAGTTATTCCTCTAGCCTCCTGTTTTGTGTAAACTTTAGCCTTGATGCCAGTCATTAGGAACTCTGCCTTTACAACTGGAAAAGATTATATATAGGTTTTTTTTTTTTTTTTGCCATGAAAAATGATCATGGAGGGAGCTTTTAATTTATTTGTAGTGTAATCCACCTTTTTGGTTTGGATTTCCTTCTTCCTTTTGTTCTTCATTCTCTGTTGGCTAATGTCTGAACAGCTGCATTTTACCATCTTGGCACTTTGTAAAGCTAATGCACCCATCTTGTCCTTTCTCTGAGATACAAAAGAAGGTTACAGATGGCATTGTTTTGTTTCATCCCCCAATTCATAAGTAACTGAAGGAGAAAAAGACATGAAGGCAGGGTAATAAAAGACAACTGATATAATGTACTAAAAGATTTATCTGGCATTGCTTGGGTCCTAAATTTTTGTATTTTGGAAAATAAAATGAAAATGTCCATGCTTCTTTTAAATCATTGCTTTGGGGTGGGACTGGGGATGAGGGGTGCAGGCTGCCCTGGGGAGAGGACTACCCCGGCCTCTCTCACCGTAGCAGCTTTGGAGAAGTGCTTCTCCATCGCTGCCACTGCTGCTCCAGCGGGCACAGCCAGGGGGAGGGGTGCACATCCCCTGGCTGGGGCAGGGCCAGTTAGGCTGGGTGGGGGCCACAGAAGGACCACCTGTCCCGCAGCAGAAGCTGTAAGGCAATTTTGTGTTGGGTGTATGGCTGGTAGGGGTGGGGCACTGCCTCTTCTGGCCCCAACATGGAGCAGATGTAGCTGGCGGAGGGGGGGGGGACAGGGAAGGTGCCCCCTCCTCCTCTGGCCCCAGCACAGAGATGCCACTGCTTGGCAGGGGTGTGGAGGAAGGAGGCACAGCCCCCTACTGACCCAGAAAGAAGCTGCTGCAGCAGCTCTGTTCTGGGACTGGCTGGCAGAGGTGGCACTCTGTGTGCCCACCCTGAGCTTCTGTCCTGAGTCCTCTTTCAACATTTAGTCAGTTGCATCCATTTGAGGACTGTACTTGATTTGGTGATTCTGTCTGGTTTTATGAGACGCACGTCCCATTTTCTTGGCGCAACCAAACCCTTACGCTGCTTTCATTTACGCTAAGAGGAAGCTGTACACTGAATTTGGTGGTCCTAGCTCTTCACGTTTAGGCAGAGTTCTTGAACAGACTGACTCTCTCAGATATATACTAGATTAGGCAGGAACATGAACAAACATTCCGTTTTTAATTTTCAGTGCTGTTTTTCCTCCCTCACTCCCCTCCCCTGTAAGGTACGGTGTGAGATACATGATTGCCCTTTTAGTGGGAAAGAAGGGTCAGATGTTTATGATGAAATTTAACAAATGCCTGCAAAATGTACATGTAAACAACAGTTATGTGTACAATTCACCAGTAATTCTCCAAATAATCTTGATTTTTGCCAATCTAGATTGTAAATTCAGTGGGATTTAGACTGTGTTGTTGTTGCAGGTTTGTGCTATGCCTGGCAGAATGAGGTATTGATCTTTGGCTGGTTGCTCTTGCAACTACCAAAATAGAAATAATACAATATCCTTTAGAGTCTCAAAGATAGGCAGATCAAACACAGTTATCAGAG